CCCCCCCCCCCCCCCCCCGCCACGTGGGCGGTGGTCAGGTTCCGCCGAGTGCGGCTTTGGGCACGGTGTTGGGGTTTGGGGGTGGTTCCCCGCCTGCGGTGGAGGTCAGGAAAAGTGGAGGTGCCGGGGGCGGGGGGGGGGGGCATGGTGGTAGCTGGGGTCGCACCCGGGCCGGCCCTTCAGGGGGCCCCCCCCCCCCGCCCCGATGCGTTCATAATGTGCTCCAGTCCTTAAATCGAATGGTTGAGAAACTGTTTTGTAATGAGCTTGGGGAAGGCAAAGGAATGCGTCATTCAACCTCTTTTTTTTTTTTTTTTTTCAATTTATTTTTCTATATTCCCTGTGTCTTGTGTCCTGCACAATGCCTAGCACGTTGTATTCAATAAATAGTATTGAGTTGAAAAGCACTAGATACGTGGACACACATTAAGGTGTAAAGGAGTGTTGGGGAGAGTAATCCCTTGTGTTGCTTAAACCTCAGGTCAACTTTTTGAGGGATTAGGATGGCTAGTTTTACAAAAGAGCAGCAGGCTCAGAGAACCTAAGCGAACTTGTTCAGGGTCTAGGAACAGCAAACAATCGGGCATTATTAGGCAAACTAAAATCAGATTCTGGAGGGAATTCTGTGCTCTGTGCAAAAGAGCTTGACTTTTACTGTGTAGGGGATGGGCAACCATAAAGGGCCTTAGGGAATAGTAACTACTTTTGAGGCTGGGTCAGGGAGAGACTGAGGCAAGGGAAGAAATGAAAGGTTCTTGGTGCTTGCTGAGACAGCACGTAGACTAAAATGGGAACATACAGAGAAGATTAGCATGGCCCCTGCACAAGGATGACACACAAATTCATGAAGAGTTCCATATTATTAAAGAAAGACAATTTTTTCTTTTTTTTCCCCTTTTTTCTTTTTCTTTTATGTATATGATGGTGGATGCTACCCAAACTTACTGGGTAAGTTTTGTAAGTTTCGCATTCATTTCATAATATATAGGTCAAACCATTATGCTGTGTACACCTTAAACTTCTGTAGTAATGTATGTGAATTACATCTCAATAAAGCTGGGAAAAAAACCAAAACATTTCTGGTAGTGACCCATGTGAGAAAGTGGCCTGAACATGCTCAGTTAGTTGGGATGGAGAGGAACGGGCATCTTTTGAAAAATAAATATTCGGATTTTACTTTTTATTAAAAAAAATTTTTTTGAAGATTTTACTTTTACATAATCTCTACATCTGACGTGGGGCTGGAGCTCACAACCCTGAGATCCAGAGTTGCATGCTCTACTGGCTGAGCCAGCCAGACGCCCCTAAAATAAATACTTGGATTGGATAAATAAATACTTGGATACAATGCTCATTTACCTAAAGATGAAATGAGAATGACTTGAGTGAGCAGGAGATAATGGTGCCATCAACTGAGATACAAAATGAACAGGGAGAAGTAGGTATTTGGGGTAAAAGGATGAGTTTTGTTTGGACATATTTGATTGGTTGAGGACAACCACAATCCCACTGTTTGGAGTGGGGCAGTCTTTAGTGTGCTGCAGAATGAGCGTGGTTTTGGGGTTTGGAAGGTCACTGGAGGCTCAAATTTTAACGGGCAGTTGAGGAATCCTGATTTCTATCACTGCATTTACTACATTGTTTTGAGAATCCCCTGGACTATACCTTTTTCCCAGGCCCTGTGCTGTTGGCTGCTGTCTTTGCTAGCCACATGTGGCTATCAGGCTCTTGAAGCATGGCCAGTCCAAATTGAGACGTGCTGTAAGCGTAAAATACACACTGATTTCAAAGATGTGTTGCCAAACAAGAAAGGACTGTAAGGTATCTCATCAATTATCTATTTGATTCCATGTTAAAGTAATCTTTTGGATAAGTTGGGTTAGTTAAATAAAAATATATTAAAATTAATCTCAACTGTTTCACTCTTTTGAAAATGTGACTAGAAAATGTAAAACTGCATACTCCACTCACTTGATACTTCTGTTGGACAGCACTGCCCTGGACTTCAGTGTTTGTGGAGGGTGACATCTGTGCCTTATGTGTCTTTTTATCGTCACTGTGGAGAATAGTACTGTGGAGAATAGCATATAGTAGGCACTCAGCAAATATTCATAAATACATTAATGAAACCCATGAGTGAATGCAAGGACTTGAAACTCTGACATTGATCAGCTCCCTCAGAAGAATGTTTTATTACATTGTATCTTTGGCAATGTTTGATGTAAATGTGCAAAAAGACTCAGGCTCTTAATGTTTGTTTTGCTTGACTACAGCTCCAAGGAACCCCTAATCTCTTTGATTCACCCTCCATTCCCCTGTCCCCCAGTATAAAACAGAACTAGGTGTGAAAGCTGGCAGTTGCATTTCGTTAGACAAGTGGGAACTGTTACCAAGGAGGGTGAAGTAACGTGTAGTGGAAATAGCAGGGCTTTGGAATAACAAATTTAGGTTTGAACTATGCTGTGTAACTATTTTCTTAACTTCTCTGGGCTTCAGTTTTCACGGTGAAATGGGGCTAAAAATACCTTCTAGGATTGTGTGTGACAGTTAAGTGATAGGATTTATATTAACTTGCAAACTGCACTTAGAGGTATTTCACTAAATGTACATTCCCCTCCACTCCCCAGCCTGGATGCATCCATCCCACTGTGAAGCGGAATCAATCAGGCAGGTATCGAATGCCTATTCTCTGTTCGGGACTATTCCAGGAAGTGGAATACAGCAGTGAAACAAAAAGGGGGAGGTAGAAAATAAATAATAAATAAAATGCATAGTATGTAAGGTGACGTTGAGTGCTCTGGAGGAAAAGAAAGCAGAGGAGGAGGATAGGAGGTGCCAGGCAAGGCAGGGATGGGGGTGCAGTTTTAAACACAGTGGTCAAGCAGCACCCGAGTGGCTCAGTCAGTTAAGCTTCTGACTCTTGATGACTCAGGTCATGATCTCACAATCTGTGAGTTTGAGCCCTGCATCGGGCTCTGCACTGACAGTGCAGAGACTGCTTGGGGATTCTCTCCCTCTCTCTGCACCCCCCCCCCCCCCCGCTCGTCCTTTCTCTCAAAAAAAAAAAAAAAAAAAAAAAAAAAAAACCCACAGTGGTCAGGAAGGCCTCACCCCCAAAGCGACAACCGAGTAAAGACAGGAAGGGATGAATGAGAGCCACGTGGTAGTCTAGGGTACAGGGAATAGCAATTAAGGCCCAGAGGCCAGGATGTGTCAGTCAGGTTATGAGATCAGCAAGGAGATGGGCGTGCAAACAGCAGCAGGAGTTAAGGTTGAGGAGCTGGAGACAAGGTCAGCAGGGTATCCGGAGACAGATCCTATAGATCTGGTGCCTTTTATTGCAGGTAAAATGGGAAGCCAGTGGATTGTATTAAGCAGAGAAGTAACATGATCTGACTTAGGTTTACCAGGATTGCTATCATTCTGGCTGCTGTGTGGAGAAACTGAGAGATGAGTTAGTTGGCTACCGTAAAAATACAAGGGAAGATGAAGGCAGCTTGGGTGGTAACAGTGAAAGAGTAACCAAGTATTCATGTAAATTTTTTAAGTGCATTTTTCTTTTTATTTATTGAGAGAAAGATAGCAAGCTGGGAGACAGAATCCCAAGCACTCTCTGCGCTGTGAGCACGTAGCCTAATGAGGGGCTCGAACTCACAAACCATGAGATCATGACCTAGAGCAGAAACCAAGAGTCAGAGTCTGAGCCACCCAGGCGCCCCTGTAAGTGCATTTTTCAAGGGAGCGCTTTTATTGAAGTCCTAAAGCAATTCCATGATCCAAACCAAAAATGACCTTGGTGACAAATAACCAGGGTACCTCCTACCTGTTCCTAGTTATTCAAAGTCCACATGATTAAATCCTCCCGTCGGATGTTGCTGCCAAACCCTCCAGGGCACCGATTCTGCTGCTGAGTCTCCCAGAGCTTCTGCCGCCCCCTTTTAAGACTGTAACATGGGGCGCCTTGGTGGATCAGTTGGTTAAACATCCGACTTCGGCTCAGGTCATGATCTCACGGTTTGTGGGTTCGAGCCCTACATTGGCTCTATGCTGACAGCTCGGAACCAGGAGCCTACTTCAGGTTCTTGTGTCTCCCTTTCTCTCTGCACCTCCCCTGCTTGTGCTCTGTCTCTCAAAAATAAAAAAAAAAAATTAAAACAAAACAAAACAACTGTAACATCCCTGACTTCCAGTTTAAGCTCATTAGGATTAAGGAGAAAAAAAAAAAATCATTGATTCTGTTCATTTTTTACGCTACTCAGTACGGAAGCTTGGCAGTCACAGGCAGGAATAGGGAAAAGGCTTCGCACCTTCCGAGAGACAGTGTGGGGCACTCACACTCAGTAGATTCCCTTTTTTAATAAGCTCTGGTCTATGAATCACATAAATCTCAGCACTGAGAGCCAATTTTACGGTTTGGTTTGCTTAATAGTCACACAATTAAAATAAGTTGTAAAAAACGGTGATGGTGTTTGCCAGGATAAATATTTAAAAGGGAACAGCTGTGGGAAGATGTAATAATTCACATCAGCCCATGGCTTTTTATTTTCAATAAAGGCTGTGGCGGTTGGTTCTTAACCAGCGGGGTTTCTTGGCCTCTCCTTGGGATAGCTTTGTGCTGTAGCTGCCAGGTTGAGGTAGGACAGAGACGAGTGGAGTCAAGTGTCTCGTGTGCCTCCGGGAATAGCTGATCATGACACAGAGACAGGGGCAGGGTTTAGGACGTTCGATCCCGACAGTTGAGGTCACAGATACGGAGTGAGGGGACTCAAAGTTGCCTACGTCTTCCCTAAACTTCAGGGGTGGGTTTTCTAGTCATGATTTTTAGGAGGCAAGTTAATAATTTTCAAAAGGTAAATTTATAAAGAGATGAGCCTATCTGGGAAACAAACCTAAGTTCTGTCTCCTCCAGCGGACTCTAGGCTGGCTGAGAGGTGGCCTTGGTGCCCGCTGATTTTCCAGTTTGGGTATGATGGTACAGCTTGAAGATCAGGTCGAAAGCTTCCTTCCTCTCTCGTGTCTCATGCCATTCCCTTTACATCAGGAGAGGGCCTACCCCTCTTCTCTCTTCTGGGAGCTTCCACCCATGCCCTCTTACTGAACCTTCTGACCGTGCAGCCCGCTGTGCTCTCCCTCTCCCGCCTTCGGCTTCGGTCTTGGTGTTGGTGATAGTAAAGAAACAAACCCCAATTGCTTCCACTTGCATTACAGACGATACTCTGAAGACTACTTCACTTGTGACACCAGACATGGGTTTTCTACATCCAGCAATGAAAGGGTTTCGGTTAAGGGCTCAGTCCCACGAGACTGCTCCCTGCCCCCACTTCAGATGCCAGTCCCAAGGCCAAGTTGTCACCGGGCTTCCGACTGACCACCTGCAAGTCAGAGCTTCCCAGACCCCCCTCTGTGGGTTTGATAAATGTGGTAGAGCAACTCAGGAAAAGTTTACTTCCTGGATTATCCGTTTATTATAAAAGGATGTAATCCGGGGCGCCTGGGTGACTCAGTCGCTTAAGCGTCTGACCTCAGCTCAGGTTGTGATCTCATGGTTTGTGGGTTCGAGCCCCATATTGGGTTTCTTGCTGGCAGTGTGCAGTCCGCTTGTGATTCTCTCTCTCCCTCTCTCTCTGCCCCTCCCCCACTTTCACTTTCTCTCTTGCTCCTAAAAATAAATAAATAAACGTTAAAATGAAGAGAGAAATAAAAGGATGTAACTCAGGGCCAGCCAGGTGAAAGAGATGCGCAGGGCAAGGTGTGCGAGAAGGAGTACAGAGCCCTCTCTGGCCACGCCACCCTCCCGGTATGTCCACATATTCACCGACTTGGAAACTCTCAAACTCCATCCTTTCGGGGTTCGACAGAGGTTTCCTCACAGAGACACAATTGATTAAATCATTGGCAGTCGGTGGTCCAACTGAATCTCTAGCCCCCTCTCCCTTCCCAGAGATGGGGGAGGGGTGCTGAAAGTTTAACTTTCTAATCGCAAGCTTGCTTCCCCTGGCAAGCAGCACATAACCTTAGGGGCTGCCCAGAAGTCACCTGATTATCATGAACTCTGAGGTGGTTGAAAGGGGCTTGTTTTGAGTAACAAATGACCCTTTTGTCACTCTTACCACCCTAATCACTTAGGAAATTCCAAGGGTTTTAGGAGATCTATGCCAGAAATGGGGACAAAGGCCAAAATATATGTCTCTTTTTAAATTTTTTTTTAGCATTTATTCAATTTTGAAAGACGAAGAGAGACAGAGCATGAGCAGAGGTGGGGCAGAGAGAGAGGGAGACATAGGATCTGAAGCAGGCTCCAGACTCTGAGCTGTCAGCACAGAGCCGGACGCAGGGCTCAAACTCACAGACTGAGAGATCATGACCTGAGCTGAAGTCGGATGCTTAACCAACTGAGCCACCCAGGTGCCCCAAAATATGTATCTCTTATTTTGAATCACAATATCACAGTGATAGACAGATGTGGGAGGGGTCTTAGGGAGTACCCAGATAGCATAATACCCAGAGATGGTAAAACTGAGGCTTGGAGAGCAAACTGACTAGATAAATAACACATAACTAGTCAGTGGGAAGAGTCAGACTGAACACTTTTGATTAGCTCTCTTTCTACTACCTATACCAGTAGTTTAATAAATAATTGGATCCTGCTCAATTTCTTTTTTCTTAAAAAAATTTTTTTTTGTTTATTTATTTTGAGAGAGAGAGAGCACGGAGGAGAGGCAGAGAGAGAGGGAGAGAGAGAATCCCAGGCAGGCTCCGCGCTGTCACCGCAGAATCTGCTGCGGGGCTCGAACTCATGAAATGTGAGATCATTACCTGAGCCGAAACCAAGAGTTGGGCGTTTGACCAGCTGAGCCACCTAGATGCCTTGGTCCTGCTCAATTTCTTATACTATTTACAGTACAACC